GATTAATTAGGAGTTTTTTTTTCATGATTTCACAAAGGAAATGCACATAACTTATACATGTAAAAAATTTATTAGGGATGGCAATGGTCAACTGGGTAACCATCTAATCAGTCAGAAATATAGTAACTGGTTTAGTATGGGATGACGGGTTATGATTTTCATAACCGGTTAGTATTTTTTGTATAATATGTACTTTTTAAATAATATACAAGTATACATATTTTTTTTTAAAAAATTACCACTTAGATCATGTAGAAAGCATGTGTAAAACTAGTCTCATTCAAGCAGATGCTCGACTGTCTCCATAAACTCCTGCTCATTGGAGTTTACGGAGACAGACAAGCATCTGCTTGAACGAGATTAGTTTAAAACTGAAAAGTTGCTATCAACTTATTAAATTATTCACAATATACAGCCACTGTGAAAACAAATCCCCATTATTTTGTCATTACAGTAAAACATGTTTATAAGTGCCAGGGACAAATAATTTTGATTCATTATAAATGTATTCATTTTTCAGTTTAGTTTTCAGTATGTTTAAAAACCACAGGGAATGAAAATCACTTCACTATACCCTTCAATTCCGTATTTAAGTCTGTTCGCAGTAAGCGTGTTTTACTGTATAACCCAAATACCACTCTAAGTTTACATACCCCAATCATAAAAAATTCTATTTTCTAATTTCAAGAACTAATTTTTTACTAAACAATGCTTTACATGGTATTAATGTAGTTCATTATCTGTAATGGTAGCCTAGTTGTAGGGCATTCATTTTGTAATCAGGAGGCCTGGGCTTGATTCTCATTTGCTGTGTCAAACCTAAGACATAAACATACAGGTAATGAAGGTTCCTTCACCAAGCGCCAAGCATTAGAATGAAAGTCAAAGGTTTTTCAGATGAGACCTTAAAAACCTCACAGTAGATGTTGGGACAATAAAGAACCCTCACTGCTCAATGGGCCTTAGTGCCAAGTATTAAGGTCTATGTTTGAAGCCCTTCACCAGCATGTGGCAATGTCTCTATACGAGAGAAAAATTCTCAAGTAAGATATAAAACAACATACAATCAATCAAAGTGTCAGTAAGAAGCTGATCCTTACATCGCAGGTTCGAATCCCACAGCTGGATGTGGAGATAGGTCCCTCAGATGAAACCGTATGAACCGAGGTTCTGTGTCACAGAAGGTGCTGGCACGAAAAAGATCCCTCACTTCCCAAAGGCCATAAGTGTCAAGTACAGGTCTATATTTGCAGGCCTCCACCAGCAAGTGGTGGCATAATAATATGACTAAAAAAAATTTGAAGGGGCAATAAACAAAACACAAATCAATCCTGCAGTCTTATCACAGAAATAATTCAAACTTTTATGTATAAATATATTTCCAAGTTTCTTTTGCAATTTAACTGAGTGACATTTTTGAGATTTTCCAATAATAATACACATTTACTAACTGGGTTCGAGGGCAACATGTGTTTTGTCGGACCAAAGAACCAAACTGTTTGCCTGAGACCATTAGGCCGAAGGGAAACAGTTTGGTTCAAGGGGTCAGCAAATTGCATTTTACCCCGAGAACACGGACAATAAATGTTTTGTTATATCTTTTACTTTCTTTTTTTGTTTGACATACATGTATTTTGTAGTGGCTTCCGTGATGTAAATTTCCTTTACCAGCACTGAGGTAAAACTCTGTCAATTCCGTAACTTTCGAACACCAACGAATGCAAATGAGATTTAACTAATCCCGCGCATACTGTAATATGTAAGCAGTCCAATGATCTCATTGACAGGTTCAATATCTCACTTTGCGGTTCAACATAGATTTTTTTATGATTGCTCATAAAACCTTGGAAATGTTAGACATTTTGAGTGTACACTGGTATAGATTTATATAAGAACAAATTTTTAAAGGTATAACAAATTATAATATTAATTAAGGCCCTAGTTAAAACAGCTATTCATACTTGTTGAAGAATATATAATAATAATTATCATTTTTATACATGTAGTATGTTAGATAGTGTATTATTGAATTTTTGCATTTTTTTGTTTCAATAAAAAAGAAAGTCTTGGTGAAATTACATGCTCTCATGCATTTAAATATAAGGTAAAGCAATGGGGATTTGACAATGTCATGTCAGGGCTAACAGACAGAGACTGAACCATAAAATAGATAACATACATCAGTGTTTGTGCGTACATTTCTACATTTGCTGGCATATAAATGTAAACATCAGTGCTGTAAGCAGCTGTTAAATTTTAGATAAGAAAAATTCTAACCTTCACTTCCATGGTCCACGCCAATCATATATTAAAATGTCACCGTGAACTCTTTCATCACTCGCTACATTTATCACAGAAAACTCCGACACAAGACTGTTCATCGCTGTTAATGTGATCGTCAGAATTTCCTCGTAAACAATTTGCGCAAGAATATATATATCCCTTTAAAACTAATGCTCCCTGTACGCAACCAAGGATTTTATGTGCTTCGTAGATGTTGATTAAACGTGCATGTCTACATACGGCCCGTACGTTAAGAAAATGTACAACTGTCAACTTCACATATTTTCTTCTCATTTTCTGTCTGTAATTCCGACTTGCATGGCTACTTCCGGGGACGTACTAAAGACTTGATATACTAAAGAACCTGATATTCGACCTGATAATTTTTCAAAAAATAAAATAATCAGATTGAGTGTTATACATGATTTATTTTTAAAAATCATTGATTATGAAGCATTATGCTATACTAAACTACACTTTTTAAAAAAATATTTGCCGCTTGTTACAAAGCATAAGATCAAATCACGTTTTTCATATATCGGGTCTCTAGTGTCTTCTTCCCACAATGCCACTCGTGATTGTTTACATCCAGGTTACAAACAAGAGGCCCCGATTAAGACTCTTTCTATACGGATGCATTTGTAAATGTTGATCTACCTTTACTTGTGTAAATAACTTGCATTTATAAACGATTTAAATAACAGAAAACAGAGAAATCGAATCAAAACAATTTATTTAAAACACAACAACTATCTAAAACCGTACAAGCATGTGTTACGATGCCCTAAAAGGCGTGGCTGGTTTGTAGACAACTTGTTCCTGTACGATTCTCGAATAATTATTATATAAAATAGAATAAAATATAGCACGGAGCTTGTTTCTCTTTATACCACATGACAAGATTTAATATGTTAGAAATTATGTCATTCAAACTTTTTCATAATATTTTAATATTTTTAGCTATCCAAAAAATACTTTTATGACCTGCTGTCCCCTGAATATAGGGGCCAGCCCCTTTTTCTTGATGTTATCTGAAAGCTCTCGTAATTACACACAACTTTTATTCTATATGTCTTACCAAATTTTTATCAGTTTAAAAGTTATTAAACAAAAAGCAGCAAAATTTCATGGAAAAATAATTCTTAAAACTTGCCGTCACATAGCTTCCGAACTTAAAAAAATTAGCCTACAATCTTAATGTTCTGCGCATCTGCAATGTATTAGTTACAAGTTCTCCAGTTTTCATGCAAATATCATGTGTCGTTATTGAGAATTCTACTGGACAAGAGACCCTCCAAATATTGATTAAAGGGCAATAACTCATGAACGGGGGTATATATCAAAAATTTGAAAAAACTGTTTTTAGGCAATAATACATTGTATCTACCCTGAAAGTTTCATAGCAATCGGACAAAAGGTCTCCGAGAAATCGCCTACTGAAAATCGGCGGGAAAAAAAAAATAAAATAATAATAAGAAACAGTAGAATAACAGTAGGGTCTTCCGAAGGAAGCTCGGAAGACCCTAAATAATCTTAACCATCAGAATCAGTAGAAGGTCTTCCGCCTGGAGCGGAAGACCTTAATTATACAAAATTTCTAATTTAAAGGATAACTAGATAAGTTCCGGTGAAATAAGAAACATGCATATGTCTATCGACCTGGAGCAGCATCGCTACGTCATTTTAATGTCACGTCAGCCGGAGATGATTTTGCATGTGAAATGATCAGGAAGCGTTTACTCTTCTTTCTTTTTTATCATAATTATATACACTACAAAAATCAAACTTTTTTTTTCTTAAGCGATTCTTTAATAAATGTGTGCTGTTGTTTCAGTATTGTAAATTTTTCATGCGTCATTTATGCAGGATGACTTAGCATCATGCAGTGCCGATTTATGCAACGCGAGTCAACGTTATTAATTCCGTTACGGTAAAAATTGATGGTCGTCCAGAGCTTTTGATTTTACTGTAGTTGAATTATAGATTAGAAAAAAATATATACCAATGAAATACATGTAACAAAACCTTAGACATGTTTTTTTTTTTCTCGTTGTTATTGTTTTAGCAGGTTGGTCAGTCTGGAAAGGAGTTTTACATAGTGCTGCACAAAATTTTAGGCATCTCGCTGCTCCGCCTTGACGTCAAAATCCATTTTGTCGTCGTTATCAGATTTCTTTACCGCCCTTTATTTTTTAATGATCTCGGCATTTCTGATCAGAATTCTAACAAACTTGCACAACATGAAGTCAAAATAAAATTAAAAAATTATATACATAAATTGAATTATTTTCGCTCTTATTATGGGTCCACCGGGGTGTTGAACATTGGTGTTACATATTTTCAATATCTGATTTCGTGACTGCGCCGGGTACCCCTACCATTGACACATTTATATACCATTGAAGAGAAGAAATATAATATTTGTAAAATATTTCTTGCTTTTATGAATTCTTAATGTTTGTCAAACGTATATGCAAATTTTCACCGAAAGACGTTCATTAGAAAGAAAAATGTACAAAATGTCTCAATAATTTCAGAACAGCCCTCGTATATCTACTGTACTATAGCTGATGAAATGTTTAAAGTACTGCAGAGATATATATACTTTCTGACAATTAAGCCTGGGAGTGCCTATGTGCCCAATGTTAAAATTGCTGAAAATGCATACACATTTGTTATGTGCCTTCTAATTGTATACACATTTTACTATTTTAAAGTACACTTATGTGGCAGCTAATAAACTTGGAGTTGTTGGGAACATGATGAATACAGAGAAGGGGACCATCAGAGGAACACTACAGGGGAATAGGAGTCAAGTGGAGAGCATGTAAGCACTCATTACACTTACCATTATTACACTTAATATCATTATTACACTTACCATTATTACATGTACATATACCATTATTACACTTATCATTATTACACGTATCATTATTACACTTACTATTATTCCATATCCCATTATTACACTAACCATTATTGCATATACCATTATTACATTTACCATGAGGCATTAATCCATACACTTACAATCCAGGGAACAGGAGAAAAGTTGAGAGCATGGAAACACTCTTAAATTATTTTTTTTACACTTATATTTATTAAACTTATCATTATTACACTTACAAACCAGGGTAAAAGGAGACAAATAGAGAACATGTAAGCACTCATTACCTTTTCTTTATTACTTGTCTGATAGTTTGGGCTATAAGAACCTTGGATATTAGCCCTGAGAGTTCAGTGGTCAGAGCATCTGACTACCACTAGAGGTCCAGGGTTTGATTCGAAGTCAACCCATGAATTTTTTTTTGTACATCATAAAAAACAGGATTGATTATACATACTACAGTTAAGAAAGCAAAGTTTATTGTGTGTTTACAAAGATAGTGTTCATGCACTCATGAGTAAAAGGAAAATTTTTATAGTCAGGGGCAGATACAGGATTTCCAGTTGTGGGGGAGGGGAACTTTAAATGACAACAGAAACGAGTTCAATAGCATAAGTTTTAAGACTTTTCTTTTAATTATGTATAAGGATAAATCAGTTTCCATATTATTTTTTTCAGTAATCAAATCAGTAAAATTTTAAAATATTTTTCTGAACTGCTTCAAATTTTTTACAATAGGAAAAAATTCCTAGTTTCAAGTGGCAGCCCATATTCCTTCGTCACCAAAGCAAACTTCTACAATGAACATGAAGTTGTAAATCGAGAGTTTTCCAAATTCACCATTGATCCAACAGACTGGTAGACAACACGGACCACAGAAGCTGATTTAGACTGCACATACTGTTGTTTGGAGTGACATTTTCACAAATAGTCTTTCACATTTTTTTTGTTAATATGTATATTTTTATACTTTCATTTTTAAAATACCTTAATCAGTATTATATATATGTGACCATATTTAGGGCTTGTTTTCATGTTTTGTAAATACATGCATTTTGTTTGGTTTTCTGTTGGAATGCATTATAAGTATTTATTTATTTATTTTAAAAAAATCTTTCTGTCTTGTTAGTTTTTTTGCTTTGTTTTATTTTATGAACATATTCATGTTTTTGTTTGTTATATTGATTGGTCTCAAAAATAAAAAAAAAAGTTGAACATAAAGCTTTTTAGTATTCATTCATTGATCTAAATTAAATTTCTGATTTTTTAAGGTCATATTTCTCCCATTTAATTCTTTTTTCAATAGTAATAAAGGTAGTGTTGGGGAAGGACGGATGTTCCATGTGTGAGGGGAAGAAGGGATGTTCCATATTTGAGGGGAAGGAGGGATGTTCAATATGTGAGGAAAAGGAAGGATGTTCCATATGTGAGAGGAAGGAGGGATGTTCCATATGTAGGATGAAGGAGGATGTTCCATATGTGAGGAAAAAGAGGGATGTTCCATATGTGAGGGGAAGGAGGGATGTTCCATATGTGAGGGGAAGGAAGGATGTTCTATATGTGAGGGGAAGGAGGGATGTTCCATATGTGAAGGGAAGGAGGGATGTTCTAAATGTGAGGGGAAGGAGGGATGTTCCATATGTGAGGGGAAGGAGGGATGTTCCATATCTGAGAGGAAGGAGGGATGTTCCATATCTGAGGGGAAGGACGGATGTTGCATATGTGAGGGGAAGGAGGGATGTTCCATATGTGAGGGGAAGGAGGGATGTTTCATATGTGAGGGGAAGGAGGGATGTTCCATATGTGAGGGGAAGGAGGGATGTTTCATATGTGAGGGGAAGGAGGGATGTTCCATATGTGAGGAAAAGGGGGGATGTTCCATATATGGATGGTAGTGGCAAAATGTAAATATATAAATGCAGCCAAACCTCATTATATGCAACTCATTGAAATGGAGAAAATCTTCAAGATGATAAAGGGTTTGAAATGCTGAGGATAAAATACAATTAGATACCGAAATTCAACAATCCATTTCCTTTTTTGTTTTATTTATGTTTGTACTAATTAAAAACTCAGAAAAAAATACACAGTATGCTGCATTTGACTCCTAGAAGAGCATGCTAAAGCAGTCAGTACGGTGTCTGAAGGAGGGTCCTTTGGAGAAATTTGTTTAAAAAAATGTTACATTTCGAGAGTAAATCAAAGTGAACAAACCTAGTCTACATACAATTGAATAGAAATTTTTTCCTCAGAAAAAAGTATAGTCATGATTTTCATTTTTTCTATGAAATGGTTATGCTTCAGTTAACATTGTAATTATTAATCAGTGAAGACATTTAAATGTCTCATTTTTTACTTAAATAGCAAAATTATATATCAAATACATCTTAAACAAGTTTTGAAAAGTAGAATAGTATTTTTTTGGTGGTGGTGCATTAGCAATATAAAAATATTCAATGCAAGTTCAGAAAGATATTAATCAGGCACATTCCAATTTACTGATAACTTTATAGCCAGTTATGAAAATTTTTTCATCAGATTTTGGCATGGACACAAGCAAGTGTACATGTATATTTAAATATCATAAGTATAAAAATCAAAATTACAAACTTGATCATGGCGGTAATTTTGCCGATATATAGAATACTATAGAAAACATAGCTACTATATGCTTGTCAAGAAATTTTGGTAGTTGATAGTGCCCCCCCCCAACTGAAAATGTATGGTTGTGCCCCCTCAAAGTGAAATTGCTTCCTACGGGCCTGTTGATGATTTTCCAAGAAATGAAATTAGGTAATGTTAAGTTATTTCTGAAATTAAACACTTATTCAACAAACAATGTTTGAGAATATATATGCCCCCCCCCCCCCACCCCTTGGCAATTTTAGTAAGGGAAAGATTTTAAATTTAGAATGTTATCATAGTAAAAACAATCAATCATCTTCTAGTCGAGGAAAAAACAAATATTATAACACTAACTTTGATTTAAGAGATGAATTTAATTTTTGAGAATTCATGAGGACATGAAGACGCTTCACGCCGGCATATTTCATGAAGCGCTAACGCGCTTCATGATAAATATGTAGGCATGAAGCGTTGTAGTTGTAGTTCATGTACCTCATGAATTCTCAAAAATTAAAATCATATCTTATATTTAAATTATTATTCTGATGACTTGCAACATTTTTTTCATTCAACGATCATTTTAGAAAAAAAGCACTTTTTTTTTACTTCAGTCACATCACAATGTATATTCTTACTCATCCTACGGTAGTTCATGTAGTTCATGAGAACATGAACTTTTTTCTAATTTGCTAAGAATCTTAAGGAAAAAATTTTGGAAATGTAAATATCTCTAAATGACCTCAATATCACTGAGGTAATATATTTCTTATATGTAGTAATTTTTTTTTACAATTTATTTGAAAGATGACCAGAGGTGGGATCAGGTGCTTTGGAGGAGTGAGCATCCCCTGCAGACCGCATGCTCCTTGTCATGATCGGTAAATAAAGGAAAATCCGTCGACAATTCAGTGTGTTAATAATGAACTAACAATGAGTACGAAAAACGTCAGTCAGCATATGGCTTAATGATAGATTGCATTTGCTGACAAGGTCATTGTATCAACCATAGAACTTACGAAATGATGACTTTAAACGAGACCGTTGATATTATTGTGTCATCAACTTGTTTGTCAGTAACTTCACTCGTTTTAGAAATTGTTCATATGTAGTCTGAGCATGCTCTTGCATATCGAATCAACTGACAGATATACACCCCATATGCAGGTGATAAGGGTATACTGCTGCATAAGTAAGGGAAGTTGACGATTGAAAAGTTAAAGTCATTACGTTTATCATAAAGCTTTGTTGTTAGATTACCATCAACGATTTGAAACACAAAGTTAATCGTATATGTTCAAGTGCAATAAGATTAAAGAAAAGTGATCACGTGTAATTTTTTCCTCACAATGAACGACTTGAACAAGTTGTTATCTTCAATTATAATAGATTTTGCATGTTTTCATCATCGCTGTGTAGAGACCAACATCATAAACATGATCCATTCCTATTCTGGAATGATTCCGTTCTTCTTGGAATTTGCCAGTGCTTGACCTTACACGAACAAAAAGTGGGGGGGGGGGGGGCAACCGGCATGTTAAGGAAAAATACTATACTCAGAAAAAGTGGGGCTGGCCCTCCTCCCCCCCCCCCCCTCCCCCCGTTCTACGGGCCTGGAGTCGGCCGTCCACCTGGGTAAGGTTGTGTCTTGAAACACGGACCAAGGAGTTTAAAAAGTGCGCATGCACAAGTCATTGAAAAGTGACATAATGAGTTTTTTGTTTTTTTTGATAATGACCCAAGTACATGTAGTCAAAAAATCAAAAATCGCACACTTTAAATAGCAGGTTTTAATTAAGTCTAAATTATGGAGAATCATGACTTCATATGACATACATTTTCTTCCTTAAAGTACAGCTGAACTGAAACTAATATACGGATATATTCAGGGCAGTCTCGTTCAATCACTGTGTCAAATTCTCGCCATTGTCCCCGGATGGGAGGGATTCACACAGGTTTCATATCTTCCTCACCACACAATTCTTGGAGATCCTGACATGGAGTATCAAAGATAATAAAAGAAACTCTTTATTTGTTAATCTAAAGATGGGATTAGCCCTGATTGGAATTTTACTTTTAGTTCTAGTGTCCTGTACAGGAAAAGCTGACCATACTGACTTTATTCTACAATCAAACAGGTGAGATAAAATACAATATACTTTTCACTAGTCAAAAAAAACAGTAAAAGTTGAAGTTTCATTTACCAATCAATTCAATAATTTTAAAGAAAATCTAAAGGTTCTTTACAAAGATGTTTTTGTTGAACAAGATCTTCCCAGGAATTGCATGTGTCCTAAAACTATTTGTCCGATTTTTATAGATTTCCCGACGATGACCGCTTTGCACCACCTATAGGAAATGGTTTTGTAGCCACAAACGTCCTCAGTGACGCAATATACGTTGATGGGGTCTTCAATGGCTACCGCGAAGACAGCCACCGAGCCAGGATTCCTTCTACCACGTCTATCCGCATCACGCGTGATGTCATTTCTGAAAAATATAGTCTGGATATGTGGAATGGTAACTTGTCACAAATCTCAATGATAGTAGTTAATTTCCCACAACACAATCTCCTCGGTCCAATTTGAATAATACAGTAACTGGAAAGGTATAATAAGCGTTTACAAGAAAATATTTTGTTTGCAGGTGTTTTTATCCATCATGCCAATCTGCCAGACTGTGAAGTGGAAGCCAAATACTTTGCTCACAGGTTGTTCTCGAGTGTCCTAATTGTGCTTATAAAACTAACCAAAAATCAGCCATCTCAAGCATGTCTAGATATTCAGCTACATCTGAACAAAGGGAAACCTTCCACAGACTTCAATCTAGAAAGTAGAACAGTTGACAACAACACTGGGTACGAAGGGGTACACTCCATTCTCACTAAATAGGCCTCTATACTTTAGTGTAAATAGGTCTGTCTTAAGTCAGATTTGATAAAATCCAAAATCTAGATATTTTAATGTACGAGCATATAGATCTCTCGTTGAGCCCAACAAGATTATTCTGAAACAAATCTATATTCCAGTTACCAGTTTGGACAAATAGTACAATCTGAAACAAACAGCAGTGCACTGACGAGTATCCATCATTACTGGACGCAAGTACCTGATTCTTTATCTCTGACGTCATTGCAGACGTCTAAAACATTTAAATTTGTAACCTCCATCCACACGAACAAGACAGAGGCATCTCTTCGCTACACCACCGCTCTAGCAATGAGCTCTGATCAGCTGTACTGGCTGCATTCAAAGGTATATACCAGTATACTACCACTCCCATACCTGTCAAACAAAATCTGTTGTGAGTTTATTTACGTTTGGATTCATAGTCAATAGACAATGCTCACTATCTAAGGTCAATTCATCTACCGTATGAGTCACAATTAATTACCTTGCACCCTGAGTCAGGAAGTAAAAATTCGAAATTATGAAATTATAAAACAAATCATTTGTAGTGTAAAGATTTATCATATACTTTTGCACACTATAATCTGACTATATTTTCAAACAACAGTTTATATCTCATTTTGTTCATGGAATCAGGAATGGCAAGGATTGTGGGGAAGAGGTAAAATTAGGATTGTTGGGAATGAGGACCTTCAGAAGACAATAAACACGTGCTTCTATCACATTTTGTCTTCTCTTCCGGCAAAGAAATCGGACAGTTTCTATGGACTCAGTCCAGGTAGGACACGTCTCAGAAGAAAAGCATTGCAAGACAGAGACGAAAATTTACTGCTTTTTCTAAAATCCATTTTTTCCCCAAAATATTCTTGAACCCTTTTAAAAAGATTTCCACAATTGTCCTCAAAAATGACATATGAAGATAATGAACAGTAATCAAGCTCAAAAGTTCATTGAAACAATACTAACTGGGAGCAGAGCATTTCTCTATTCAAAACATCAGAGGTGGAATCAGGTGCCATGGAGGAGTAAACATCCCCTGTCGACCGGTCACTCCCGCCTTGTGCTCCTTGTCATGATCGGACAAACGGAAAAATCCGTAGGCAATTCAGTGTGAAAACAATGGCCCAACCATTTGTATGAAAAACGCCACGCAGTCAATTAACATTCGACTTAATGATAGATTGTATCTGCTGACAAGGCCATTGTATCGACCTTAAAATTTGCGAAATGTGGATAAATGAGACTGTTGATTAACTTATTTGTCAATATAGCTTGTCTCATTTTAGAAATTGTTCGTACGTAGAGCATGTTCTTGCTTTTCGAATTAATGAACTGGGAGACAAAAACTCCATGTATGTCTTCACGTTTATCTTTAAGTTTTGTTATTAGGTTACCATTAATATCTATCCAAATATGAAACAGATGTCTCAGACTCTGTGGTATCTCTTATTTTGAGTTCGAGGAATATATCGAATGAACGTAGTAATGAAAATGAATAGTGTTAATTGATAAAACGTCTCGATAAAAATATTTTTAAATATATGTAAAATTAAAAATTAATACAGATGTTAAAAGTTTGCTAACAAAAGAAGGATTCCTAAAGGAAGTGTAGTAGAATTGAAAGAAACTTTAATGCACAAGTTATTGTGTGCTGTAGGTGGGCTCTCGAGAGGAGGTAAACTGCTTGCTAACGTCAGTGGTGGACCTCATAACGACTACGCAGGTCACGTGTTTTGGGACATGGACACGTGGATAATGCCACCAGTCATGATGTTCTTTCCGGACATGGCAAGAACAATGATTGGCGCAAGACTCCGTGTTCATCCCGCCGTTAAAGAAAGAGCTAGGGAGAATGGATTTCAAGGGGCTCAATTCCCTTGGGAACAAGCTTTTACAGGTACTGACGTTTTTTAACTGGAGAAATTGATCAATCTTCTTTATAAATTCCACCCTGACTTCTGTGCATTTGCTTTTTTCGTTAAGGTTTCGAAACTTGTCCATGGAAACCAGCATCAGATTACCAAATCCACATAACTGCTGACGTTTCACTTGCCATACGCCATTATTTGGCCGTTTCCTCCAAAAAGCAAGCAGTAGAGTTGTTGAATAGTGGAGGGAAAGACCTAACGCTGGATATCGCCCGTTTCTGGAAAAGTAGGGCAACAGAATCAGAGAGAGACGACTATGTAATTACAGGTAACTTACTGTTACTTACATGTCAGTATTTCTCAAACGTTAGAGAAAATCCTGCATAACTCCTCAGTTTAGCAACGCCGAGGATAACAGTAAAACTCTTTGTAAGCTTGTTGCCGAAGCTAATGGATTTTTTTCTTGGAAGGTGTTATGGGGCCAGATGAATATCATTTCAACATCAATAACTCAGTTTTTACGAACTACAACGCAAAACTTAGCCTGGAATTACCCAATCTCCTTAACAAAAGGTAAGGCCACCATACTAGTACATGTACATGTATTATATATCATACTAATAAGATATTTGTACATGCAGATATTTGACTTAGCTTTATCAGAAATAACCTTTAATAAAGCTTCCTTTGAACGTTTTTGACCTTCACATTTAGACAGCTGACCCCAGTGAACCAGACTGAAGTAGATGAGTTATTGGAGGTCAGCAAGAAGATCAGAATTTTGTATGACCAACAAAGAGACTTCCATCCTCAGTATGACTCGTTCTCATTGACAGGTTTGTCTTCAACTGCGACAAATTTTCCCAACACAAAATTACAGGCGGGGGGGGGGGGGGTCAAAATTTGATGCTTTTAGGTCAGTGTAAAATTTCAATTTATTGTGAAGTATATTATAATTTTTTTCACCCGGACAAAAATTGAAATTCCAGAGAAAATCAAGCAGTCAGATGTTGTTTTACTTGGATTCCCTCTCCAAATGCCCATGCCGAGGTCAACAAGAAGAAATGACTTAGAAATTTATGAAAATGTAAGTGAAGAATAGCTTCATAGTATCAAAATTGGTCTTCCAGAGATAATTATATAAAGTATTTCTAAAACAACGGCAATTTAATTCATCATGTACTGATCTAAACTAACCAAAGGTTACAGATAGATATGGACCAGATACAGGCACATGGAGCATGCATACTGTAGGTTGGTTGGAACTAGGACAGCCCCAGAGGGCTTACGAAAACTTCAAAATGATGTTCCGAAACATAAACGGTCCTTTTAAGGCAAGTTTTAAAAATATTCATCAGTTTATTTATCCTCAGTTTCTTAGCTAGCAATGATGAAAATAATTATATTTTACGGTTTTGCAAAATTCCAAGGTTTTCAGCGAAAAGCCAGCTAACTCCAGTGATGGTCCCCGATGTGTGAATTTCATTACGGCAGCAGGGGGTCTGCTTCAGGCTGTGATGTTTGGCTATGGTGGACTGCGTTTAAAGGACGACCATCTAAAGGTGTCCTTCACCAGTATTCCAGAGGCATCGGAATGGGCCATGTACGATTTGAAGTACAGAGGGTTCACATTTGACTTGCATCTGAAAGAAAACTCGTTGTCCGTAGAAGTGACAGGCTCAGATGACCAAGGGACGTCATTGGTCGTATTGCTTGAAGATGGATCATATACCCTACAGAGAGGGGAAGTAAAGGTTTTCGAAAACAGAGCCATAAGGCTCCGAGTGGAGGACAAAAAGTCCCCAAATAACAATAGAGATGGAAATAGTGTCCAGTGCCTCAAGAGTAATATTTTAGCGATAGAGTTGTGTCTTCTAGTCATGATTTTATTGCATTACATGTGTGTAGATTTGTTTTAACATCAAAAGCGGGCTTTTGAGCTAATACTTACCATTAACACATATTTTTGGATAAAACTACTTCTGTAGCAATTTAATGAACATAATTAAAGTACGAGAGTTATCGATCTTTGTACATGTCTTTTATTCTTCAAACATGACTTACTCTGCTCAAATACCTGCAGAAAGTAACACAGAAAAATGTTGCCAATGGTCCATGTTCCTCGCCATGCAAAATTACTTTGGCCCAGGCCTGCTCTTCAAAAGATTTTAAAAAGATCTTTTAGCCTACCTCAGCCAAAGACTCGAATTAGCGTTTTATGATCACAGGGTGTCAAGCGACCGTAAAGTGTCTACAATATAACTTCTTTTCCCGAACCAATGGGCAAATTTAATCCAAATATGCAACAGAGCACCTTAGGATGCAGGAATTTCAAGGTTTTGTTAAAATGAAATGCCATGTCTTCTTTTAAGGTGAGATAATTAAGAAAAAGTTAAAATTTGGTGGCATTTCTCAAGAACCGCTGGGCCAAAAAGACAAAAACTTGTGTGAATTTTTCCTTATATATTTATATAGCATTCAAGCTTGTCCAATTCATGAAAATCAATTCATGCAGGCAAGGATTGGGCTGCAATATGGTTTATATAGTACATGTAATATGCATGTGTAGGAAATGTCTGTTATTTTTTCCTCGAGAAAAACAGGGTCACAATAAGTCAAACTGATAATCAAGCAACCCTTTGTAGTTTAGAATCATGTTCAAACCACGATCCCTGGGGCTAGGGTGTGGCCACAACAGGGGACCAAAGTTTTACATTTAAATATTTAAATAAAAAAATAAATCTTCTTTGGGGCCATTATTTATGTCTAATTATAATATTGAATTGAACATCCTGAGATAGTACAGATTCACATACTGTGGAATGATCAAAATTCGCGGGGGCCATGCAATTTTCGTGGATTGCTTACAGGTTCGCGGGGACGTAATTTCGTGTATTCACTCATATCTACAAAAGGAAATATGACTTTGAAACCCTAGTATATTAATTCGTGGAGGATTTACATTCGATCGTGGATAAAGGGTAACCACGAATTCCGCGAATATTGAGCCACCACAACATCTAATGATTCTACAGTATGTTCAAAACATGGTTCCAGAGGGTAGAATGGAACGACAATATGGGATCAAAGTTTACAAGGAAATATGTAGGAAATTAAAAATAATTCAAGAGTAGCAGGCCTATACTTAATCACATCAATATGCAATCAAGATTTGTTAATACATTTTTTTTCCTCGAATTATGGACTTTGAGGATAGACTGGGGCTAAAATTAGGCATCAATTTTTTTGTATAATACATGTATACAAAAAATCTCCGTGTTCAGAACAAAATAGGCAATGATAGTCGTATTGAAACTGCAGCATCCCCAGATTGAGAGGATTCAAGTTCGGTTATGCCTTGACCCCGCGGAGGTGCACGAAGGCCCAAGATATGGGGTCAATTTTTTCATGTTAATAAAGAGGGACAAAGAAAATCTTTTGTTAAAAAAAAAATTAATAAATAAATAAAAAGGGTTTGCTAAGATGATCGGGCGAACATTGTTGCCAAAGTGCTTCTTGCTCCTTATTTCCATGTAAAATTTTTATTCACTATTGTGGCCCCTATTGTGGTCCCTTGAATCGAAGGGACCATGGCATAATCAGACTAGAATCGAGTCCATACACCTGTGGATGCCGAATAACTATATGACTAACTGTGGCCCTGCTGTTCAAGATTTGGAGATTTCTAATATTATCTATATATTATGTAAATCTTTGGTTCGCTATTTTAGCTCTCCCTTTACCCCAGCGGCCATGAATTAGACAAATTTGAATCTGCACTACATTGTGATGATTGCAAATTGTTATGATGAACTGTGGCCCTGCTATTTTTGACAATTGAAAAAAGATTTTTGAATAAATTTTCATTTAAATACCTACTTTGATTCTTTATTGTGCCCATAATATGTTATGATACTCCAGGTGCAAATATATAAACTATTCTTCTTGGTGCTTATAATAATCATGACCCTGCTTTTCTTGAGATGAATCGTTTTAAACATGTCCAATATACACCAAGTAAAAATTCCTTTATTATCCCATATTATAGCCTCATACTAGACAAAGTGAACCACAATTTGAACAAACTGGAATGATCACTGAATGTATATTGGGCATCTTTAAAACAATTTATCTCAGAAGCTCTCCTACATTAAAGCATTTTTCGAGCAAGTGAAGAAGAACACTCCTTGTATAGAAAAAACATTATAAACAGAATATATTTCGTTAGTAAACATTTACATATTTTGAAGTATGCTTTTATCATCATCATGCACAAATGTTAAAAGTTAATACAATTTGCTAAAAATTTGGCAATATTTTATTTACGCGCAATAGTCATTTGGTATTTCTAAGCCATAAAAAAAATAACGAATTTTGGTTTTGGTTGTTGCTGTATATAATATCTTTATATACGAGAATGATTTTTTTAAAGTTGTCAGTCTCACGTAATAACGCGAAAATAAAGTTCTCGCTTATAAAAGTCATTCACAATACTGTTGTTTAAAAAAAAAAATGATGATCAAATTAAGATGCATGAGAGTTGTATTTTTCAAGAGTTATCGATCTTAGTACTAATCGAGCGAAAGCCCTATGTCAAACACATGGCCGTAGGAACGGGGGGGGGGGGGGGGGGGCTCCCGAATAATTTTGCCGATATATAGATTACCAAGTAATCTATATACTACATGTATATGCTTGTGCCCCCTCAATAAAAACGTTTGATGACTTTTTTTTTTTTTTTGCTTATCAGGAAATTTTTGGTAGTGCCCCCTCAACTGTCAACTGAAAATATATGTGCCCTCCAAACTGAATTTGCTTCCTACGGGCCTGAAACATACATGGAACAGGCCTGTAGAATGCCGGGAACGGGGGACGCCGCCCTTTTTCTGAGTACGTTATTCTGCTATAGTAATCTTTCATTAAGATGCTGATTGCCCCCATCCCCCTCAACCCCCCATTTTTCTTGCTGTAAGGTCAAACTCTGCCAAATTCCAGAATTTGGACAGTTTTTTTTTTTTTTTTTTTTTTTTTTTTTTTTTTTTTTTTTGCTTGTCCCAATTTTTTGGAAGTTCACCCCCCCCCCAACTTTTGAAATTTAAAACCGTTGCTTCGGGTCTGTGGAGGACATTTTCATGTAGTTTTATTTTATCTACACCTATCAAACCGAAAATTAAAGATACACGACGTCAATTTTCAAGTGATGGCAAACAGTGTTTTACATCATCTGTCAATAATGATTAAATGATTTCTTTTTTATGAGTAACGTAATTTCATCACAATCACTGAAAATCTATTTTATTTTTACGGTGATGATGGATAATGCTTATATGTATCTACAGAAATGCCAAAATGCTCATTTAAATATTCCATACTGAACATAATTTTGTACCAACGAGCTTAAAAATACTATACTACGTTAAATGCTCATAAATATATTTTTTATTGTATTAAATATAAGGTGTACTTAAAAGGAAAAGAAAAATAATTTTTGACCAGGTGTTCTTATAAACTACCTGAAATGCAATTTCACTTTAAGGAAATATTGAAAAATGTAATTCTTGAAAATTAACATATTATAATATATACTTGCTCCTTTTCCCGAGATTTCACAAAAAACATAAGAAATTAACATTTTTAAATACAATTCTTTTGCATTAATTCAGTAACAATGTCAATAAGATATCATATTTAAATTATTTTTATGGTCGAACAAATTAAGCATGTGTTAATAAGGACCCATGAACTTAACAGAACTTAAACCACAAGAAAAAAAACTTTACGGCTATTATATATTTAAATTATTAAAACTTTTTTTTTTGTTTTGCTAAAACCCAGATGCACTTTTATACCCACAACCAGTAATGCTTTATGAAAATAATGTAATTTTTAAAGTAAAAAGGTAATGGAAGGAGACATTAAAAAGGACCCTTTAACACAAAGAAAATTTTCCACAAATTTACCACAAAACAAGAGGCCCAAGGTCCTTAACGGTCACCTGAGTAGAATACAACAATTTAGAAGTTAAATACACTGATAGATGAAGCTTTGTTGCCCTAAAGCAAGAGAAGTAGGAAGATCAGGATCAACAAAATAATTAGTCTAGTATTCAGTATCAACTCATAACTTAAGTTCTAATCTGTCCCCCACTTAACATTATCACCATGCAGACTATTAACAAACTATTAGTGCTTCTGTACTATTTTTAAACCCATATTAAGACCTCTAGCATTGACCTCTCTTATGGTCTTTGAAGAACTTTTAATAAGATAAGTTATTTTTGTCTCATTTTTATTTATCTATTATTTACAGATCTGCCTGATTATTAAAACTAAGAAAGTACTTTTTGAATTATACGATAAACATTCTTGCATAATTATCTTATTCTATTAATCTTTCAAATACATTATTTACAGTGATTAATTATCAAAGGTGAATGGAAAAGGGGAATAACTTCTCTCAGTAGAATACAAATTAATAAAGCCCTGTCCAGGACCAGAATGCTTAGACAAATGGTCCAGATGTTCAAAAATCTGGTAGAAATACGCTTACTTATATCATTTAAACTTTTACTCAGTTTGCTTCCAATATGCCCAGAAGCAGAGAAGAATTTCACAGGTACAATGCATTTTCACTACAGATTCAACAAAGCCTTACCCTAACACCAGAACCCAAGACCAAAGGTCAAGAAATTTACAAATTTGGAAGAGTTACCCTCATCATCATAACTATGGACTTCAAAGAATTAACACTTTTCCACTATATTATCAAAAGCCCCCCCCCCCTTCCTCGTTATGCCAGAACCCCTGACCCTAGGACCACAAGATTTAAAAATTCTGTTCGAAGCTCCCATCTTCATCATAGCTAAGCAATTTATTTATCAGCTCAACACTAAGGAGCAGACAGGATTAGTTAATGATTAATTAATAGAGTTAATGCATTTTCACTATATAATCAATAGAGCCCCCCCCCCCCAAGAACCCCAAAAACTGAGGCCATGTATTTAAAAATTTTGGAAGAGGCATCCTTGCCTATCTTAATCATGCACTTAGTTTGTTTAAATAATCTCCAGTAGCAAAGAAGAAGATTTTCATAGAATCAATGCATTTTTACTATATAATCAATAGAGCCCCGCCCTAACACCGGAACCCCTGACCCTGGGGCCATGAAATTCACAATTTTTAAAAAGGCATCCTTATGCATCATAACCATGCACTTAGTTTGTTTAAATAATCTCCAGTAGCAGAGAAGAAGATTTTCAAAGAATCAATGCATTTTCACCATATAATCAATACAGCCCCGCCCTAACACCAGAACCCCTGACCCAGGGGCCATGGCTTTCACAATTCTGGAAGGGCCCCACCTCCTCATCATAACTATGTACTTAGTTTATCATCTTAATGCCCAGGAGCAGAGGAGAAGATTTTCAAAGAATTAATGCATTTTCACTATATAGTCAATAGAGCCCCGCCCTAACACCAGAACCCCTGACCCTGGGGCCATGAAATTCAAAATTTTGGAAGAGGCTCTCTTGCTCATCATAACTATGTACTTAGTTACTTAATTTAATACCCAGGAGCAGATAAGATTTTCAAAGAATTAATGCATTTTCAATAGGTAGTCGATAGAGCCCCGCCCTAACACCAGAACCCCTGACCCTGGGGCCATGAAATTCACAATTCTTGAAAAGGCACTTTTGCTCATCATAACTATGTACTTAGTTACTTTATTTAATACCCAGGAGCAGAGAAGAAGATTTTCAAAGAAATAATGCACTTTCACTATATGATCTATATAGCCCCACCCTGGGGCCAGAACCCCTGACCCTGGGGCCATGAATTTCACAATTTTGGAAGAGGCACTCTTGCTCATCATAACTATGTACTTAGTTACTTTATTTAATACCCAGGAGCAGAGAAGAAGATTTTCAAAGAATAAATGCATTTTCACTATATAATCTACAGAGCCCCGCCCTAACACCAGAACCCCTGACCCTGGGGCCATGAATTTCACAATTTTGGAAGAGGCACTCTTGCTCATCATAACTATGTACTTAGTTACTTTATTTAATACCCAGGAGCAGAGAAGAAGATTTTCAAAGAATAAATGCATTTTCACTATATAATCTACAGAGCCCCGCCCTAACACCAGAAGCCCTGACCCTGGGGCCATGAATTTCACAATTTTGGAAGAGGCACTCTTGCTCTTCATAACTATGTACTTAGTTACTTTATTTAATACCCAGGAGCAGAGAAGAAGATTTTCAAAGAAATAATGCACTTTCACTTTATGATCTATATAGCCCCACCCTGGGGCCAGAACCCCTGACCCTGGGGCCATGAATTTCACAATTTTGGTAGAGGGCTCAATGCTTATTACAATGATGCCAACAGTTTGACTGCTTGATGTCCGGGAGTAAAGAAGAAGATTTTTAAAGATTGCATTATTTTTGGTGGTTTTAGCCCCACCCCTCAGGCCCCAGGGGGGCAGGGACCATGAAATTCACAAATTTTGTTTCCCTTCACCCATAGATGCTATATGCTAAATTTGGTTGAAATTGGTTAAGCGGTTATAGAGAAGAAGCTAAAAATGTTCAAATGTTAACGCACGACGCACACCGCACGACGCACGCCGACGGACGAGAACGGATAGCAATAGGTCACCTGAGTGACTCAGGTGACCTAAAAAGAGAGTGACCTGACATGTAACCTTCTAAAACGTTTTTAATTGTTTATACATCAACAATCTGCAAGAACCCCTGTGGAGGTAATAAATACATGTTAAGGGCCCTTGATAATTGTAAAAAAAAAAAAATACATTATATTTGCGGACGCTATAACATATATTTTTATTAATCTCTAAATCCTAAAGCACCCATCAACAATATGACCTCTTGCGGTTGTGCGGAACTAATGTTAGTAAGGACACTTCAAAATCGAGAAAAAAAATCAACCGCATACAATTTTAACATTTGGCTTATTAAAACATTGTTTTTCTTCTTTTTCCAAATGTACCCATCAACAACATGAACCCGTGTGGTGGTTATGGAATTGAAAAAAAAGGATAATTGACGCTCGTGTAATCCAGCGTGTATTCGTAGGATTGTGTACATAACGTATTCTCGTGATACAGCAGAATACATAAGCTACTTACACTATTTAGAGAAAGTTACTCTAGTGTAAAATAGTTGTAAGGAAGACGGGTTTTTTTTGCGTGGGTTGTGTCTGTTTAGAAAACGGGTGATCTATTTGTACGTATTTAAGTGGGCATTTGGTGCTGAATCTTTCTGTTCAAGCACGCATGTCAAAGAAAAATGTAAACCGAAGGAACCCTTAAAGTGTACATAATCACCATGGTAATAGTAATCAGAAAATAAGTCGGCAAAATGTGTTCTTTGTCAGTTTATTGCAATTTAAAAACGTGCCACAAGCCTAGAAAAATAACCAATTATTCAATTTAAGAAAACAATACAACGATGCAACAACATGTGTACGTTTACAAATACCGCACCTTGACAATTTGACTAAGTGTAATGCTTCAATTGTTGTCTAAGTAAACTTTTTTACATGATTATGACATAACCCTGGAAAACAACAATGGAAAACATGATTTTCATTTTTCTACACCGAAGATGAAGCTTGCTGCTAATATCTTACAGAATTGCCACTTCTTTTGAATGTTGAATATAAAACAAAGAAGGGCGTGCAGGCAAGTCTGTCACAGGAGTATTTCATCGTATGTACTTAAAATGGAAAAAAAAATTAAGATGAAGGTGGGAATAATCAATAAGAGCAACCAAGATAAGAAGGTTTGCAAATGTGGAATTATATTATATAAAAATATTCCGTTTAAAGCGCTTATGCTCTTCTTGGTAGGTACGTTACCAATTTTGCAACCACACCTAACAGTGTCAAAACCACGAACCAATATATTCATATTCTTACGAAACAGTGTTCTTATGAATACTTAAACTTTTAACCTGTGAAACCTCATTTACTGAATAACATACTATATAGTTACATGTTTATGTGAATTAATTAAAGCAATGTATCGTATATACTACTGTGGGGTCACTACATCGCTGTTTGGTATAGGTTAACAAAGGAACGAATAAATTATCCTTTTCAAAAACATATTTCAGGTGAAGGTCAGACTTGGTTTTAATTTCCGCTTCACTGTGAATTTTTATACCCATTGTTTCCTTTCTTACTCCCTATATTAATTACCACCACCATGATACAGTTGGCAATGATAGGAAGACCAATACATTAATAACAGTAAATGTTAATTTTAAACATTTTAATGAAATTGGACGCATTGATATAAACAATTTGAAAACGTAATAAATAGAAATAATGAACACACAAGGAATGGAATTTGACTAGAAAATAAGTAACATTCTGATAGAACAGTTTAATTTGTACCCAGTAGTCTGCGCACAAGATTCACAGGCGATCGCCTTCGTTTTGTCTTTTTTCCGATCTTAGCCACGTGTTTGAAAATTTCAGTGAAACTGGACGGGAAGGCTGAGCTGCATTCCATGAAATAGTCTGCACCAATTTGGCGCGAAAAATCAGCACCCTCTGTTTTACTGACGGGAGGGTCCTGATCTAGGCACACAGAGTCACGAATGTCCGTCTGTGTTCCCACCACCACAAGTTTGATTTTTTTGCCAAGGAATTTCTTGATTTCTGGAATCCATTTGTCCCTTATGTTCATAAGTGAAGTCCTGTCTATTACACTATAACACAGAATAAAAACATTGCTGTCCTTGTATGCAAATTCTCTGATTGCAGAATGTTCTTCTTCACTTGAACAATCAAATAAGTTAATAGTGATATCTTCTCCGTCTAAATTGGTTGTTCCTGCAATAAAAGAAGTAAAATTATTTATCTTTGAAGTTGCAAATAGTCAGGTATATTTTAAATATTTCTTATAGAAAAAAATAATATTTATTTATTTATTTATATTCTTTTTTTGCAGTTTTCTTTTTTTTTCTCTCTCTCTCTCTTTGAAAATAAAATCATATAATTATCCAATAATGAAAATTACCTGCAATATTGTCAAAAATCGTCGACTCGTAATTATTGTTCTGCATATCTAAGTTGGCCTCGCTTTCCCCTAGGCCCCTGCTAATAGTGGATTTGCCAACTTTCTTGTCCCCCACTATCGTACACTGTACACAACTCATCTCACTAGAAACGACCATCTTCCTCAGTAACTTAGCGTCAACTGATTCACATCAGACCAAGTTCTGGGGTTTAAATACGCGGGCACCTGCTGCACTCGTCAATAACATGAACTCACTAAGGATAGTGATCACTGATCGCACTGAGCCAATATCGTGACCCTCTCCGGTGGTGATCAATGCAGCGTCTCTTAATCTCCGTTTTGTTTTTAAATCTATCGGGCTGACACCTCTGCAAGATTTAGTTTCTCCTATCTATTGTATATAAGACATAATGTGTATCACTTGAAATAATTTGTTTGTCTTGTTAAGCTGTTTACTCTCAATAGCCATGCCGCTGTCGGTCTACCCAATGGATTAACCACGGTATATAGGTTTTGTGTGGTATGTATACGTACATGTATTTATTTTGAGGGTATGACGATACAATATTTTTATGTCATTGTAGTATTCGTAGGCAGTGCAATTATATTATTTTTAGGATTGAAAAAAATGTACAATTCATTGTAAAGACGTAAGCAAAACAGCATGGTTTGTAACATATAATATATGCTTTGTATGCTTGCAATGAGGCTGCAGTGAAAGAAATTTAATCCTTCCCTCAATGGTAATTGTTTTCATTTTTCAAAGAGCGGGCAAGGTTAACTAACATTAATATTATTCAGTGAACAATATCATTGACTGCCGCCGGTAAAATGTACCCAAGGAAAATTCAACAGTCATATATAAATATGTGAAATCTAATGAAAATAAAATCTTGTCGTCTATGACAGCTATACAAACGTTTGTGTAGATATTAAACTGTAGTCAGCTGTATGACTTCAATAGTAACAGAGTCTAGAGTTTTGTTTATCTGTACCGGGTAGCATTTTAATTAACACTTAGGGGCTCGTGTCGAACTGCTCAACAGAACAACAGCTAGATTCCACAAACAACAGAATATGACATCGTGGATTCTGATACTGAACTTAGAATTTGGGTCACCGAGTGTAGTTTCTCAATAAATGATTTGCAATTCTTCTACAAGGACTATCCGGCCCATGTGGGCTGACATTATTTTTTTATGACCTAGGGTACATACATTATTGAAATTATCAATAAAAATGCAAAACGCTTTGACTTATCATTGTATACTTTTGCATATCATTCTTTCTGAAGAACGCAATGCGTGGTCTTTGCTTCAAGCATTATAAAATATAGGTGAACAACTTTTGATGAACCTAATTACAAAAAGGACCTTGTAACATATTCATTAAATAAAATTAAATACAGGAAGTTTTAACCTACATTTACCATTAGAATGCTTCATCAGCTAAAACTCTTCGTATAAAGCAAATTTTTCAAGTTAGCAGCCAATGCTGAAATCGGAACACCATGATTCTTAATACTAGATCATGCAAACTTTCGACTAGAAAATGAACTAAAATAACAATTGCTTTTCATGAGAGAGACAAAGTGTCGGACCCATTGAAATCTGTACTAAGAAGTGGGTTATGCTGAGTTAATCTGTAAATTTTGGGTCAGGGAGGGTGTTTGAAGTTTTTTTCTTCCCAAGCTTGTTGTCAGATATTGATTAGTTAAACTGTCTGGTACGAAGCACTTCCACCGAGATAATCTGATTTTAACTGCATGGAAAAGTACTCACATTATAGATTTGTACCGGAAATAGGTAAATGAATTATTAATAGGTGTAATTAATGAATCTGACAACTAATCTTAAATAGTTTTATCTGTTTAATAAAAATTGTTAAAGACAGATTAGCGATGGATTTACAAAGGCTATCAAGAGTACGAAGAAATAAAACCTACATGTATTTAACATTATCCCCTATCCTAACTGGGTGCTTACAAAGAGGGTTGTTTTGTTAATTATGTTAAATAAGTTCATAGGACATGCACAACCAACATTATAGCAAAGTAAAAATGAGGAAGATTTATCGTTAAAAATCACATGCACTTGTTTCTGTAAGGGGGTAAACTACAATTAAGTGTTGTGTTAAAAAACGAAACACTAAACTTTAACAATTAGATGGCAACCTTTAAATATTTTCTATTTTCTTAGAACGGTTTCTTGTACTATATCCAATATACTCTAATTATTAAAAACTTAACTGAACCAAGAGATCTATGCTTTTCTTGACACTTTTCTGTATTTTTTATTACATCTTCATTATACTGTTTACTGAGAAACTATTTGCATCTACGTAAAAGTTGTAAAATGCTTTTAGTAAGAGAAGCAGAACACATCCTTTACAAATTTTCATTTATTCTTAAAGAATAAACTTGCATGGAAGTGCCGTATTGTGAAATGAAATGTGAAGATAACGAAAAGTGATCATGGTCAAAAGTCCAGTTAAACAATATAAATCGCAGCAGTTAACACGGACCTCTGTAAACAGAGGTAGGATCAGGTGCTATGGAGGAGTAAATATCCCTTGTCAACCGGTCACACCCGCCCTGTTTTATCGGTTATATGTTTTATCCAATGTTTCCTTGATCACTAGTACATGTTTTAAAAATAGCCCAACATACCAAAGCAAGGTAAACCCTTTTATACGAGTTATTAAGTTACTAACTCTAACCATCAGCTTTATGTAAAAAAAAAAAAAAAAAAAAAAAAGATACATATTTTTTTCTCTGATGGATTTGATTTTTATTAATTTGATTCAATATGTATTTAAACACTAATTTAACACGTCTTTTGAAGGATTTGCACTGGTGTAAACTCGGAAACAACCATACAAAATTTATTATCAATGCAACCTTTCTGAAGCTGAAACCACCATTTACCATTTACCACAATAAACTTAACAATTATTCAATCTCAAATAAATTTTGAGAAGTTTACATTAAATGCCCTAAACATACTTCACCCAACCTAATCTTTCAGAACCCTTTTTTATCTGTTTCTTGAACATATATTCTATTTTGTAATATTTTTTGTGAAGGAAAAATATTTTATGATGGAAGTAGAACACATTACAATGTAATATTGTAGCTAAACATTTTGATTTTATAACTGTGGCATTATTTTAAGAATTACAAAAAAAAATCATTACTTTTGCAATTTTATTGATAAGATCTACAAAAATCGAACAAAAAAAAACGACTAGAAGTGTTAAACTAATGGGATGTTGATAAAAACATGTAAAATCTTTACAGTTTAAATAGATTCTATCATTCAACTACCGTACAAACTTATTATAGAAGTGTTTCATCTCCCACAGAAATCAAGCATTCATCCCCCCTATTTTTTGAATGAAAGGTCACACTCTATTTTCGTATTCTTATCAGAGATACTGATAGGAAGTGCTACAACCTAAGTGTAAATTCTTTCGATTTTTGGAGTATTTTTGGGATACTTGATCTAATTATCATTGAATGAAAGAATATCAAAGAATTTCTAGGTAAACGTGCTTGGTTTATTTAGCAATAGAATAATGCACTATAGGAATAAATGTCATTCAAAACATCTGCACTTAGAAAATAATGTTGAAATATTAGGAATATTTGAAACTTAAGATATTACATAAGATTTAAACTTTATGAACGACTTCAGTAATTATTTATTTTCAGCAGTCTTCAAATCTGACCAATGCTGAAAATTAAAAAAAATTATCAAGTCTAATATGAAAAGTTTTATGGAAGCTAAATTTTGTAAAAACCTAATTTTTTTGGAGATGATACTATTTATACCAAAAAGAGCCAGTCTAATTAGATTGTTCAAAGTGGTTGCTTTTATTTGATGTACGTAGCAAAATCAATACCTACGTGATTAATTTTAAATTATTTGTAACATTTTTTGAAGTAACGTTATTTACATGTAGTCTGATCATCCGTTTTGAGAAAGAAATTAATCACGATTTTGTAATGCTTTTTATTTCATTAATCAAATTTTAAAAAATGCATATTTTAAAATATTTTAGTATTAGTTGAGCGCATGCCTTTTGCAATATTTTACAGTTAAATTTGAAATAACCGTAAAAATAAAATCAATTAACAAATGAGATAATGCAGTTTTCCAGAAGCAGTTTTTTTAATTAGTCACTGGTAAGGCAAATGGATTTCCAAATTAAACTGATAATTTCACAATAAATACCTTATACATCAGTAGTATTGAATATCAAATTTGAGATAAGTTAAAATGTTTTCTTCAAATTGCTTAGACTGGTTTTAACCTCTTCATTTTTAATATCAGATTCACTATTTTATGTTTTTCTTGAAAGCGTCATAATTATTTAACGTTTTATTAAGCTAATATAGAGTCTAATTAGAACACATTGTAATGCTATGTTAAATCTAAGGTTTCTGATTTTATCATATTTTCACTATTCCAAGAAAAAAAATTCAATATGTTGATAATTTCGTGTATTCATAAAAAAATTCGAACAAGACACTCACTAGAAGTACATGTATTAGGGTAAACGTGTTTAATAATTATAATACGCATAGATTTTATCAATATGCGAACAGAGGTTGAACTCGTATAAACTTATCGTAGAGTGTTTTATCTGCATGCGAAATCATTGCGGTTTCTTTTTTTCGTGAATGAAGGGGTCATACATACTTTATTTTTATAGATACTAATAAAAAGAGCTGTCTTAATCGTAAATTCTTTCGTTTCGTTTTCGTTTTTTGGATTATTTTCGGAATACTTGGTCTTATCATCAAAAAGGGAAGGAACATCAAAGTATTTCCAGATAAATGTGCTTGATTTGTTTGCAATAGAATAATGCTCTACAGGAATAAATGCCATTGAAAACATCTGCACTTGTAAATATTCAATTATCATCAGTCTTAATACCTTACCTATGCTGGTAATAAAAATTAATTATAAGTTTTATATCTAATTTGCATGCATGAGAACTCCCATACTTACAATGAACAAAACGTTTTATGAAATCTAATAATTTGTAATAACCTTCATTACATGAAACTGACACAGTTTTATATCTTTGTTTTATCTTTACAAGGTATATGCTTTTGTTTTGTTTTCTTCCAACAATTTTGTAAAAACTTGTTATTTAAAATATAA